TGTGAGAGAGTAACAGGTATGTGTATTATTTAAATGTTTTATATCTGTGTAGAAATATATTTCTTTATAGAAATTTATATTTGCTGTTTTTTCTCATTAAAATTAAGATGAATTAAATATTAAATAAATATCAATAGGCTAACAGATATATATTATGGTGTGTGTAATTCTTATGTATCACAATAAATGTAAATAAAAATTTAAATTCCGTTTTGAAAAGCGATAATATACATTAAAATATATTATTTAAAAAACATTATTTTATTTTATTTAATACCTCATATTTAATTAATATTTTTTTAATTAAACGTTCACAATATGTTAAGCACATCTTATTTCATGAAATGTTAGAATGTAACTTTACTGAAAATAATTTTAATTATTTAAGTTAATTTTGAAAAGAGATAAAAATATTTTTATTAAAGATATTTATATTTGTACTTATAATTTCATTTATTATAGATTGAATAGAACTTTATCGAAAGGCATATGCAATATAGATGTGTTACAGTTACATTTTTTTCGTTTTTTATCAAATCATTACATGACTAAAATACAAACGTAATCAAATTTGAACTTACTTTTTTACGTAACATAAAGTTGTACGGTTAATAATTAAAAACTAAGAATATTAAGATATTAATAGAAATATCTATATTAATAAATTCATTAAATTAATTTATTAATTGTTTTTATATGTATGAAAAAAGTTTTGCAGACTACGGTATTTTATTTGATAATTTTCTAATAATTTTGATAAGTTTCTTCTAATTTTAGGAAAATAACTTTAAAAATTTTAATAAATATAATATAATATATTCTAGAATTTTATACAGTAATGCGTTTATGAAAAAATAAATTTATAAAAGAAAGAATATTAAATATAATGCGGAAAAAAAGAAAATATTACATTCTGCATTAAATAGTCATTAATGAATCTTTTGGGATTATTCGTGATAGAAATCAAGCAATTAATTATTACACAGTTTATGCTTCCTATTTCATACACACTTACATAATTTGTTGAGTCATATGCTACATTTCTTTATGCAATTTATCCCAAGAGATACATGTCGATCGAAGAATGCTATGGTTACTTTATCAATAACAAATAATTTCATCAGCATTATATTTGACATAGTATTGTAATTGCTCATAGTTTCAAATTTAAACTCATTGAAAAGATAGGTCGGATAAAAATACATATATAGTTTATACATTTGTTATGAAAAAATGCAATTAATTAGAAAAGAAGCTATTACATTTCTTATAGTATTGATTAATAATAAACTACCTATCAATATAGACTGTTATTCTTTCACAAATATTTGTTACTCATGTTCAATTCGAAAATACAAGGATAAGATGCGGAAAAAATGGCAATTGTTCCACGCTATGGACTTCCTATCTTTAATGCATCCTTGCTTCAATTTTTGTCGTATTCTCGGAATATTTCCGTATAAAATCAACTTTCTGACCTTCGAAGCATCAAAACCGTATTATATTATGTCGACTGTGATTACTTGTGTCTGCTGCGTTTTAAATCTCGCATTGATTCACCATATTTTCATTTCTAAAATAATGAACTTTGAAAACGTAATTAAAAATTTGGAGACTTTGGCTTTCTACATAATCAGCGGTTTCGTTGTAAGCATCACGCATGTTTTGAGTGGTCCACGAATGCGCTTGCTACAAACTATTTTGGAAATTTCTTCAAAATTGCCTTCGGAATCATATCAGAAGTTATCGAAATTGATTCATGTCAAAGACATTTTGGGTAATATTTTACTGATAGTGAAATCATCCATGTTTTTTTATAAAATATCATTTGAACTGACCTATTCAAACGTTTTGGAAACAATATTAATTATGTACTTGGAACTGATAATGTTTCAAATGAATATGTTGTATGTAAATTGTGTTTGTGTATTAAAATCTTGTTTCAAGAGAATTAATGACAATCTATACATGCAAAAGCTTGTGGTAAAAGATATAAAGCGTGTCCCCGGGCTGATATGGCACACGCAGGGAAATCAATTTTTGATAGAACTAAAGACCCTCCAAAAACAGCATCTAATAGTTAGCGAAATATTACAAATGATGAACACAATATTTAGCCCGCAAATTTTTGCTATTGTAGTTATATCTCTTATTGAAACCACTATTGAACTATACTTCTATGTAGTGGACTGGAAAGATGGAGTATTCATTAACTTAAATTGGCAGATTTTTGATGTGCTTTTAACATCCATGTTATTTTATATTATGAGAATAACACTACTTGTATGGGCTTGTGAAACCGGAAAGAATCAAGCTCAAAAAATCAACACCACAATTCACGACGTACTTAATAGCTCCAGCGACGAACAAATTAAATATGAGGTAATAGAAACACAATTTGATTTAAATTTTTCTGGAAATGTTAATATAATTTTTTAAATATTAAATCTATTTAAGTAAAATTGCAGTTTTCAAAGTTATTTTTTTCTTGCATTATTTTGCATGATTTGACGTTGCAGTTGCAGTTATTTTCTTTACAAATTCTGCATTGCAAGAACATATTTTCGACGAAAGCTTTCACTATGGATGCATCGCTTCTCACGACGGTAAATAATCAATTATTTGTTTTAATTAATAAAATGTACATTATTCACTTTTTACTACTATTTTCAGATGGTGAGCAGCATCACAACATATATGTTAATTATCATACAATTTTTTATCATGTCACATTCCTGTGATGAGAAATCTAACTCATATTACAGTAGTGAGTAATTCAGGTTATTTATAAAAGAAATACAACATAAAACCTTTTTTTATATTTATATAGAGATGATTTTATTATATTTATATAGAATCATTCGAAATCAACGTTCATTCATTGTTTTCTA